TTACACTGATTACTAGTTGTAGAAATTTGACAATTATCTTTCCCAAAGTCTCAGTTTTTTATGTGTGAAATGGAAAGAGTAGTAGTACCTGACAGCCAGATTTATTGTGAAGAAAAAATGACATAGTACACATAAGATATTCATTCATTCATTCATTCATTCATTTTTTTATTTATTTAGAGACAGAGTCTCTCTCTGCTACCCAGGATGGAGTGCAGTGGTGCAATCTTGGCTCACTGCAACCTCTGTCTCCCAGGTTCCAGCAATTCTCCTGCCTCAGCCTCCTGAGTAACTGGGATTACAGGCACCTGACACCATGCCTGGCTAATTTTTGTATTTTTAGTAGAGATGGGGTTTCACCATGTTGGCCTGGCTGATCTCAAACTCATGACTTCAGGTGGTCTGCCCGTCTCAATCTCCAAAGTCTTGGGATTACAGGTGTGAGCCACCTTGCCTGGCCACATAAGACATTTAACACAGAGGCCTCACTTTCAGCAAATCCTCACATGCCAACTATATTGTATACCCTATTTGGGAAAAGAATGGTTCATTGTAGTTTTTGCATGTCACTTTAGATTTTTCATGATTCAGAAATATAACGAAGTATTTTTTTCTAACCTTTCTTAAGATGAAAAAAATTAATCTTAATCACAGACTTTACTAAGAGGATCAAAAGGTACTCTACAAGTAAGTATTAATATTCTCATTCATGACTTGTAAAAATACAGACAGTAGTTTGACTGCAAGTCACGGTTAAGAAAATACCTGATTCTTTATACTTCTCTTTTGAACCACTAGAAAATATTTACTCTATAAAAGAGCTCTCCCTTGTTATTGGATCTCTTGCAGCTTTGACCTTTGGGCATTGGCTGGTACATTTTTGGATCTTCTTCAAATGACTGGGATAAATTCTGGCTTGAAATTGAAAGAGAGACCAGAAATCCTTCATGGTGAATTGTGGCTTGGGGCCCTTTTAAAACTTCTCAAAGAACATCACAAACAATTTACCACACTCTCTCAATTGCTGGCTTCATGAAAATTGGTGGTGTTTTGAGTGGATAGAGGCTCATGATTTACAAAGAGCCGTTTCCACTTCCTAAGTTTTGCAACATGTGAGAGCAAGTCACAAGGGAAGGAAGGAGAACGTGAACTGCTTTGATGACTGTTGGCCATTGCCAAGGAAACTGCTCCCTTGGTAACCGTGGTCAGTACATCTGTCTAGTTGCATTTCTAAGGCTTGCATAGTTACTACCATGGAAAATGTATTTTAAAACAAACACATAGGAAAAAACAATTAAAACACAAATAAAAAATAATGGAGTTGATAAAAAAATTCTTTGCTTTTATGGCAAAGTTGTTATGATGGGTTACGATATTCAGCAGAACATGGTTAGGTGTGTTACCTCATAAATGGAAACCAAAATGTCCCCAGTTTAAGCCAGCCCATAAAATAAAACAAATCTAAATCATTGGGTTTATTAATCACAAGACACATGAATTTTAAGACACCACAAAAGTATTTGTGAGGAGCTTATTTCAAACATTGAGCACTCCCAAGTAAATTAAGCTAAAGTTTGCATCACTTTATCTTAAAGAGAGATGTGGGCAGGAGTAAAGGAGATCAAGGTGAAGTCCAGTTTTGAGAAAGGATAGAATGTTTAAGATCTAGCAGAAGCTGAGAAAAGCCAGCTCTGAAATAAAAATCTAAGATGGTAGGGAAACATGATTCTATTTATGAATGTTTGATTTAATCACAGTTCTTCTGGAATGCAGTAAAGCATTACCTGAGGAATGCCTGTGTTGAACTGCCACTGTCTTTGAGTGGCTAGATGAAGTTAAAATTTGAACTTACAAAGTTTGAGTAAAAATAGAAACGTAAGATTTTAATATATATTGCCTACATGAATTTCATGGGAAGTTTGTTGTTTCCACAAAAATAATTTGTGAATTACAATTAAGATGGTGAATAAAACGTTGTTGAAATCACAATTCAAAAAGTTTATACTAAGAAGGCAGGAGTGTCCTTTACAAGTAAACATCTATATTAATATAAAAGGCTAAATAAATAAAGACATGTAATGGTAGTTATCTTTTATATTCTGAAAATACCAGACCAAATAGGGAACTGAGATAAGCTGTTGAGTCATATATTCAGATACATCTTAAACCATAGATTGTATTTAACAAATTCTTGATGTATTTTTTTTTTTCAAAGCATCTTAACATTGCTGCTGGCCAGGCAGTGGTTGTGACAGTTATCACCTGTGCTTGCTCAGGAAAACTCACTGCAGCAGTGAGTGTCAGCAGTTTGGAAGACGGTCTTGGAGATAATAACGAAGCATTCTTTTAAGGATGCTACCATTCACAATAGTGCAGAACATAAGACTATATTGAAAAACACAAATATCAACAACTGTGTCAAAAATGAATTTGGAAGAGTTGAACTATAAATGGGCAGAAATTTTAGGAATATTTTAACCAATTTATTTTACTTATTTTTTTGTGTTTTCGCAAGTGTGAAATATGATACAAATATGTGTCTAAGTTTAAAACTGTTATTTTGGTAAGCATAGAATAAAAATTCTAGGTGATAAGAAAGCATTATGTTGTAGTTTAAGCAGCCATGTTTTTCTTTCTTAGTGGTAAGTTAAAAAATGGTGTGCCTATTGATTGACAGTATCTTAGTTTCAATGAAATATGGGAGTTAGTTGAGATGTCACCTTTTGTCATCTAAGAAATGAGGTAAAAAGAGAATGAGAGAGACAGATGAAAATTGTGACCAAGAACGATGGTAACTACTGCCCTCTCCTCCCCTGAAAATGAAAGAAAGCAATGATAATAAAAGGTATTCAATGAATTGCTGACTAGTAAAGATAAAAGCATAAAGTTGGTAAGCACTCCTCTATAGCGAGGTATGCCATGATTAAACAAATGATTCAATCAATTTCATAGATGACCTTGGTGTTTAATCTTAGTCCTCTTCTGTCACTGAAACTGAAATCCAATTTAATGTCTGCTTTGTACATCAAAGAGCAAAAATAGGCCCATGCCACATATTTTCGCAAAGGAACAACTTAAATTAAACGAGAAAACCTTTTCCAAATATTAAGGTTAATGTTGATGCATTAAGTGGAATAACACTAAATTTGGCAGTTCCATAGAGCAGGTTGATCTTTTAACAGATAAATTATTCTTCAAGAATATTTTCAATGTCAAGCCTCAAATGGTGTTTTACAATACTGCCAGTCAGTTATTGTATATGTTCTCTTTCAACTGATTTATCTACCAGGGCCTTTTTGTGCTTGTTGATTGAAAAGTCAATCTTGCATATATTCCATTTTCCTGATCTGTTTGACAGAATCGTAGGGAAACATTCAAGGAAAAGATCCTGCTTCCATAGTTACATCACTCCTTTTGAGATTCCATTGCAATTCAGCAGCAGATAATACCAATTCCAACTTTACAGTGTAAATTCCATTTTGTGGAAAGCTATTTTCATTTTGGCACATTAACTAGTACAATATGAAAATGAAAAATCCTAAAGTGAATATGAAAATCTGTATACCCTCCAGCTGATTCTTCAAAGTTCATTTTTAAAATCCTACTTGTTTTGAGATTCTCTGCAGTAGGAAAACTGTATTTACCAAACCATGTAGCACATTCCTAGACAGACACAATACCACTAAATCAGTCCATTTAATGTTGGCACTTTCCTTACTTGAGAATTTGGTTTTGAGTACTGTTCTCCTTTCCTTGCTGATAATATAGTTTTGGAGTATCTAGTAACTGCTGGCAAATTTTAGTCATCTTACCTAATTGCAGCAAAACCAAAATGATGGGTAGCACTAGGAAGGCCACATTTCCCAGTCTATCTTGCAACAAGATGGGATCATACAATGATGTTTTGGTGAATAGAATGTGGACAGAAGTGATATAGTCCCTTCCAGGCCTCATCCTTCTCTTTCTTTTCTTGTTGGATGGTAGATCTCAAGGATTGAGGGAGGATTCTGAGACTTAAGGGAGGCCTGAGCAGTAGAAAGAAGGAGCCTGGGTCCATGTATGACTATGGGAAGCAGAGTGACCCCACAATCTCAACCCAAATTTGTGCCAAGGGTGAAACATCATTATATAATAAAAAATATTATAAAATTATATATTACAAATATATTATATTATATTATATTATATAAATATGGCCTTTGAACATATGATAACTTAATTGAAATGTATCTGGACATTTAGTCCCTCATCTCAGAAATTTTTAAAATTTTAATATTTAAAATTTTAATTTTCATGGATACATAGTAGTTGTGTATATTTATGGGGTATATGCAATATTTTGATACAAGCATAGAGTGGATAATGATCAAATAGGGTAATTTGGATATCCATCACCTCAAACATTTATTATCTGTTTGTGTTGGGAACATTCCAATTCCACTTTTATAGATATTTTTAAACATACAATGAATTATTATTATTATTATTATTATTTTTTGTGATGGAGTTTTGCTCTTGTTACCCAGGCTGGAGTGCAATGGCGTGATCTTGGCTCACTGCAACCTCCGCCTCCTGGGTTCAAGCAATTCTCCTGCCTCAGCCTCCTGAGTAGCTGGGACTACAGGCATGCACCACCATGCCCAGCTAATTTTTGTATTTTTAGTAGAGACGGGGTTTCACCATGTTGACCAGGATGGTGTCGATCTCTTGATCTCGTGATCCACCCGCCTTGGCCTCCCAAAGTGCTGGGATCATAGTTATGAGCCACCGCGCCCGGCCCAATAAATTATTTTTAATTGTAGTTGCTCTATTGTGTTATTGAACATTAGATATTATTCCTTCTATCTAACTGAAGCATGGGTCCATTGACCAACCCCTCCTTATCCCTACCACCTCCCTAGTACCCTCCCTAACCTCTGGTAATGATCGTTTTACTCATTATTTCCATAAGGTCAATTTTTTTTTTTAGCTCCCACATATAAGTGAGAACATGTGGTAGAAAAAATATAGAATGTTTCAAAAATTTGGGTGTCATTCTTGTGCAGAGGCCATGCTAATCTCTGTATTGTTCCCATTTTAGTATATGTGCTGTAAAGTGAGCACTCCGAAATATATTTGACTGTTATTTTCCAAGCATTGAATAAGTTCAGGGGATCCCATATGGAGTCAAATAGGCATGGTTCTTGTTCTCATGGAGCTTATAGTCCAGGAAGTAGATGCTGACCAACAGATACACATATAAATGTAAAATTATAACCATGCTCCTTTCTAGGACATAAAGGATCATGATCCTATCAGACATAAAAATAGAAGTATTTGACTTCATTAGGGAGGCTTCCATGCAGAAGGATTCCATGCTGAGAGGGGCAGATGTGTGGTTACCATATGAAAGTCAGATGGCAGGAGACAAAATGAAAGATGGTTAGAGGGGATGAAGCAGCAAGAGTGAAGGGAAATGGGGTCAGGTGAGCCTAGACAAGAGTGTAGGTTAGAGGAAGTATTTTATTCTTCACCCAGACACTAAAGAACAACATTTGCCCTTTGTCCTTTGAAAAGCACTGCTCTGGCTACATTTGGAGGAATGGATTGGACATGAACATGTACCTATAATTATACGAATAGGGTATGTGATAAGTTGAGAATCATTTATCAGGATACGTATAGCTGGCTGGGTGTGGTGGCTCATGCCTGTAAAATCAGTACTTTGGGAGGCCAAGACGGGTGGACCACTTGAGCCCAGGAGTTTGAGACCAGCCTGAGTGAAACCCTGTCTCTACAAAAAATACAAAAATATTGGCCAAGCATATTGGTACATACCTGTAGTCCCAGCTACTTGGGAGGCTCTGGTGGAAGAATCACCTGAGCCCAGAAGTCAGAGGTTTCAATAAGAGATTGTGCCACTGCACTCTAGTCTGGGGGATAGGGTGAGATACTATCTTAAAAAAAAAAAACAAAAGAGAGAGAGCGAGCATGCATGCGCTCAGAAAAAGAGGAAATATTAAAACAGTTCAGCAAAGGAAAAGTCTTTGGTATTGACTGATTGGTGTTTTGGTAAACAATAGTCCCTTTTACCTTTGTGTCTTCTTTTTTTTTTAAACATTATAGATCATCTAGTAGTTCAATATGGAAAATTTGAGACAGGAGACATTGGTCTTAGGCCACTGTGAACAACCAAAGCACATGAAATTGCAGTGAATTATGAGGCTGGTTTGAGTGGGATTTTTGTCATTAGTAGCTCTCGCATCCAATTCCCTTTGGAAACCTACAAGTCACTCATCCATAGTAGCCAAGTACGAGGACTCCCCATAAAAGACACTGGGATGCGCCAACACTTATTACTTGGAAGATAAAGGAGACATCTCAGTTTCTCCACAGAATTTATGAAGGACTATGCCCAAAACACAAGGGAGAAAGACCTGTTTGGCTTCCCTTTCTGATCTACCCAGATTTCTGACACCGATGTCCCTCTGCCTCAGATTGTTTTCCAGTTCCAGAGAGAATGATATTCTGATATCTTGAATCTTTTATGTAGACTTGATTTCTTTCTGTCTGTATATGAGAACTACTGCTATGGAGACTTATGATTCAGTAATCACTTTGAGATATTCCCTGTCCTTCTCTGGGCCCCAATTGTATTTCTTGCTCTTGTGAGCCAGGCTGCAGAGCCTGACAAACGCACCCTCTCAACCACATCAACACCAGTGCAGGTTCAGACTGGCCTTCTCTCCTCCACACATGGAAGAAAGAGCTGGACGCTCAGCCCTTTGTTACTTTTTATTTTTACACTCAATTCACCTCTCCAGAAGTAATACATAGAGAGAATGCTGAATAGACTACCCTGCGTTGAGACACTTCTCAAAGATAATCTTTTTCCCTGTAAGCAAGAATGACTGATTGCAAGTATTTATTTTCTAAGGTACAATTGTAGACCTTCAAAGTCAGACTGTTAATTTGGTGATATTAACTTTTGAGTCACTTGACTAGTCAGTTTAGGAAGCAACAATTCTCTTAAAACTCTTATAATTACATTTGGACAAGTTTGTGCGTAGGACCGCAAGTCCATCAGCTTATTATAACCATAGTGCGTTCACACACCATCTTCATTATCTTGTGCTAAAGAAGAGAGCACACACTCCTCTGTGGGTAATTTTAGATTGGCCACTGACACACTCTGCAGTGTTTATAAAGAAAACAAAACTTGGATGTTGGCCCTTTTAATTATAACTGGCAGAATTGCTACACCCAAAAATCACATAATCTCTTCACCATATTATATCTTTGAAGACATCTGCTTGCAAAGCAGTAACAAGGAACTTGAATTCTAAAAACAAACTTTGTACTAGATTGATTGGTTTGGCGAGCCACGCTTCTGAAGTACTGACGGATTCTGAAAGATATATTCCTGAACTTCAAGAAAAGTTTAAAATATGCTATAATGGAGTTACATCAAATTGTCTTTGGTCTGGACATGCAAATTAGAGACTGAGATTGTATTTTATTATGAAGGAAGGCCCACTGGCCCAGTGGCAGAGGTCATAAATGTCACCAGTCATTCTGCGTTTTTATTTTGAGTTTCCAAATAAACATTGAGCCAATGAAATGGTTGGATAGTCCAGTGTACTATTTGTCCTGAGAAATGATCATCACATAGGTTCTATGTTCTAGGTGCTTTATATATAACATTGTGAAGACAACTGAGAGTACTGAACATTCCACCAAAGGGAGAAAGCTGATTTATGATATCATCTTTACTATTTATCAGGCATGTACCTCTCTTCATGTAGATTTGGGATATGATCTGAGTCCATTTTTTGAGTAATTACATTGTGATTCTGGTCACTTACCCTAGGGAAGATCATTTCGCAGCTTGCAGAGTTCCTAAACTCATGGTACTGCAGCCTGAAAGATGAAACGGAACAATTAATTGTTATCTATGCTCTGCAGATGAGTAAGAATCTTTCCTTTTGTAGGAGATTCGTGCATGTGTATTTGAATTAACAGTCTAAAAAAAAATCCCAATGCAAAAGCCTGAATTTGTTGCCAAAATAAAATTGCCTACATCTTATGTAGTCATGTAACTCATAAGGTTCCACCCTCCTTCCATAACTCTAGCCAAAGAGTCCAAAGAGTCTGTTTTTCCTTCCCTAACACAGTGTTTTCTGGAGCCCAGGACTAGTTTTTAAACACTAACATGACTTAAGAAGCCTGCTGGAAAAGCGAAAGCAATCTCATTGTACTGCATTAGTTCAACCAAAATGACTAACACATTTCAACATTTAGAATGTCCAATTGAACAAATATTTACTGCTCAGTTAGGTTTAAGAATCTTTGTCTAAAATCACTTATCTTGTATTAATGCTTTAAACACTGAGTATACATTTTAGATAAAGCAATTTTTCCTTTGATGTTAAAAACTGCATTTATAAATAGGTATATTGCCTAAAAATTATAAAATTACATATATTATTTTGAAATGTTGAAAGTTCCCCCAAAGCGTCACAGATGTTGAAATTTGTTGTCATTCTAACATTAATTTTATTAGTCCAAAGTGTTTTTTCCCAAATGCTTTTCCGAGAAGTGCAGAGCAACTGCTGTTACCCCAGAGTACTGAGCTATTAACTGTTAATGGCAGCGGAGTTTTCAAGTTCCAATATTTCAGCTGGATGCTTGGATGTAAGTTATTTTGTTCATACATCCCCTTCTTGCAAATACGTAAGGCAAGAAAGTTAATAATTTTGGTGTTCGTTAAAAACTTCTGAATGTCTTTATAAATGTAGCACAGACTCCAGAAACATTATTAGAACTAGCCAACAATTAGGATAATAAAAGTGTGAAATTAAAACAAAAAAGATTACAGTACTAAGGATGATTTATTTTAATGGAGCTAGTTCAGCATTTCCATTTTGTGTATTTATGGTGTAGTTATTCAACACGTTTTCTTTTTTGGTAGGTCATGTCAGAGAGACGTTGGCTGAAGAAAATCACAACAGACGAGAGATAATGTGAGAGAAAAATAAAAGCATCCAAGAAGGATGTCATTCTGGAACTTCCTGTTATCAGGGAGTGAGATCAGGATGCTTGGGGCAAGGTACATTTGGGAAAAGCTTTGGATTCTTAGAGCTTCCACCGAGCACTGCGGGACAGAAGACTAGCAGGGGCTTCTAATTAGAAGAGTTTTGTAGCATGTGCTAAAGCTTACTTTCTTTAGAGTGTATGGCGTTATGCCCACAGATAGATGTCCCAGTTTTAAGTTCTGGGTGATTTTTATGCAAGTCTGTTTTATAGAATTAGTCTTTCAAGGTGTTTACATGGGCCAGGTAAAATCTTGATCATCAAGGGAAGACAGATATGTATGTACATACTGCAAAATAATTTGTCTCGAAGGTTGCTAACCCACAAAACTCCCCCCGAGGCTCAGAGAATCTAGAAAAGCCTGCAACTTCTACACAGCTCTCCCAAATGTGAAGGAAGCAGGCATGGCTGCTCTTTGATTCTCATAGGAAATGTAAAGATGTAATTTCTGCAGTGAGTAATGGTACAAATAAAATTATGTTTATTATTATTTTATTCATGGCATTTAATTATAGAGGGAGATGGGTAGTCAGATAGCAAAACAGCCATAAACAAGGGAAAGGCCCCTCTGTTCTTTTTAAATGAATGCTCTAAAACAATTGGGAAGAACATTAATAGAACACCCAGCAAAAGACAGACTCCCCAAGCATATGCGTTCACTTGGGGTTCATCAAATAATGGACCGCTGGCCTATTTTTCAAGCCATTTCTCTGCAGTAACTTGACATTTGATAGGATTACCTTTGGATTTTGGTCTGAGTCTCTGCTATGCCTGAGATTGTCATCTTTTGATTTAAAGATAATAGAGCCAAACGTGAAACTGTTCTGTAAAGAGTCAACCTGTGACTCATAACCAAATATCAAAAAAGATTTTGTCTACAGTTTGCTTTCTTACCTCACTGTTGTAACTGAAATGATCAAATGACTAGTTTCCATTATAAATACCATATATTTATTTTGTAAAAAAGCTTGACATTCTTTAGAGATGAAATATAATAGTATCATAAAACTCTAAGGCAATTCTGTTCCCCT